TCAATGTTCTACTTTGTCTCGTAAAACCCGTAACATTCTCTAGATGCGGCAACGTTGGCAAGCTCACAAGAATTTGTGCGACTGTTTCAGAGAAAGCCTTCACGGCATCACACCCGCGGGAAAACCCAAATGCGCCGTTCCTCGTTCTGGGGGGCTTCGCTGACTTCATCCTCCCCTTGACCGCCGTCAACGGCCACGGTGCCATCATCGGCCTCGCGAACGTCGCACCGGTGCGCATAGCTCCTCTTTCACTACATACCTTGAACCATGTTGATATCACTACTGCAGCACGCCTGTGCAAAATTGTTTGACATTTCCGTCGCGTCCCTTTCAGATCCTTCGTTGCTTCATGAGGCGCAGCGTCTGCAGGGCATCGTTGCTCGTGGAGATTTCACCATTGCAAAGGCGTCCATAGCTGGGACTAAGTTCCTGCTCGAGAAGCTCTATGGCTATGGTGGCCTTCCCCGCAAACCGCTCCCGCCTATCAGTCATGAAGCCGCTCGGGCGCTGTGGGAGCACCCACATGTGCAAGAACTTATTGCGACGGAACGAAGCGGGAAGGTTTCTCAGTAGATTTATTTGTCTCACGTACACGTCTCCAGCGGCGCATGTCGGCGTTCAGAGCTTGCAAAGGTCCTTTATCATTAATACTCCATCTCTATACCTGGTATCATTGCTGTATCACTGTATGTTCATGTATTAACGTTCAAGGCAGGCGAGGACACATATAGGACTAGTACCAGCGTGTAAACCTCTCATTCGTCGGTCTAGTATTTCAGCTGTGATGCAGGCAACCCTATTATCGAGCAAAATAGCCCATTGCGAACTTCAGCATTTTTGAAAGTCGCAAATGTCGTTCAGTGTAGTTGCGCCCCTCTGATGGCCGGCGCCGCAAATCGCATAAGCACTTACTCAGTCTCGTCTTGACCCGAGTCACTAACCGGCGACCATCGAATACCAGCTTGAACAATAGCAATCCGACTGTCGCCGCTAGTACTGTACCTGTGCGTCCAGTCCGGCGCGTCACGCGTCACGCATCACATAACCCCCGACCGCCGCTCTCAAGGGCGGTAGTCACGTCGTCACGAGGGGCCGTCGACGCCATTTGACCGTCGTATTCTTGACCAGTGTCACAGGTCACCGTCAAATTCGCCGCCCCGCCGTGGTTGACCGTCACGTGTCACACCTGCCACCGGACTGGTTGTACAGATACTTTGGAGACACAGTGCTTTTCTACCAGACATTCCACGGTGAACAACTCCAATAACACCAACGAGACTTGGAGTTGCATTTTATTGCTGCCTTAATCAGCGCTGACAACGAGTGGCAGTAGCCCCGGTGCTATGTCCTCTCACAAGCAGAGTATCGATATAATCGTGTACCCGGTGGGCTACCCTGGCTATCCTTTTATTCCTTTATTTGTGCTATCGCCTCCGGTCTCATTACTGACAGTACAGACGTAGCTACACGTGCAGGCGAGTAGTCAGCTCACTCAAGAAGAGTATGGCACGATATGACACCTAAATATACACATTAGGTCAATTTAGGACTTTGGTTAGGGCGAACTCACCCTAACAATCCACGGCCACCCCAGCCCGTCCTTGGGACGAAGGTTAGTGTAGCAATCTCATCCGCCGCGCGCAGTACTTTCACGGAGATTTCTCTCTGCGAGTGATGTCAAAATTGCGCGACTCAGAAGGGGTATTACTCACGTTTTCCTGCAAGGCAACGAAAGTTGCAAGTGGTTGCAACGTATTGGATGTGAAAGAGCTCTTTGTTAAATTTCCGAAGGAAAGGATCAAGTCTTCTCTGAGGAGACCCTGTATCGAGACGTAATCAGGAAACACATGAGGAGTATGTCGTCTTTGGGACTAACGGCAGTAGCAGCAGGGCTACCTGGAGCAATGCCGTCAACTCTTGCAAAAGGATGTAATTCGGGTGAATCGGAGACCCCGTGATCCTTCTCTGCGACGAGGGAAGGATCGTACACGCCTTGTAGACCCTTCGCGATCGAATCCATGACATCCCTCAGATCGTTACGAAGCTCAATTATCCGGACACGCGCGTGGCGCACTTCCCAGACGTCAATATCTGCCCTTGGAAAGCCATCTGCATCGACTAGAGGTGTTTGCATCGTCACATTGTTTCTCCTCAGGATGGAGGCTTGAGCATCGATTTCAGCCTCTATCGCGTCCTTGCGGAGTGTCAATGCATGAACTTGTTCTGCAGGTGACTCCCTTGATGGCAGCTCCATTCCCATGGTGGTTTGGAAGTAAGCAGCGAAATGCGTGAAAGTAAGTATTTGTGTAAGAGCAGTGCGAGTGAGAGGTGCAGTCAATGCGACTTGGCAAAGAAATAGCTGCTACTATTACCTTATTTGGGACATATATGCAATAAATCTCCGCAGGATCTGTGTGAGCGTGCTTGAACATAACATGTGTTGTACGCTGTAAGTTCTGGCTCATTCACCCTCGAATGGAAGACTTTCCACCCTTTCTTCCCGAGGAGCTCGTCTTCAAAGCGGCATTTGCGGTCCCTTTCCTTTGCTTCACAAGATTCCTCGCATAGCCTGCCACATACCGGCCGGGCACCACGAGCGCGAACATCGAGTATGGTCCACTCCCCCGCGACTGGTGTCCGCGGCAAGGTGTACGTAGTATTCGCGCTTGCTTGGTTCACTCTGTTATAACGGGATATATTAGATCGGACATCGACCACTCCGACATTGTCGCACCGGTTCCGCGAAGACATCTAACTCTCCAACGTTCTGAGAGTCAGCATTGGCTTGGTTCGCCTCCTTTGTCTCCTGTTTCTGCTGTCTCGCGCACACTGTCCCCCATCTCCCATGTCCCGCTTTCACCAACGCACGCCAGGAAGCGATACAGCTCAATGTTCTCCGCGATATCTGAATCCGAGAAGTCTCATCTGACGGCAGCTTTATCTTCGCAGTCCATTTCAGCTGCAGATCAGAAGACTACAGAAGACGTTGGAATGGCGCGGAGATGGACGCGTTGGATGCACAAACAAGGTCTCAAGCACCGTGTACTGCCCCTCATCGTTCTATTCACGGCGCTGTTTAAATGGTGCATCACTCTGGGCTCGTATTCCGGTGTGTTCGCTCGTGCGATGCGCACATATACACAGCTTACTCTGTTATCTAGGACAGGGTACTCCGCCACTGTTCGGTGACTACGAAGCTCAGCGACATTGGATGGAGTTGACGATACACTTGCCCGTCCGGGAGTGGTACACGTACGATCTGAAGTATTGGGGACTTGACTATCCCCCACTTACAGCCTACATCTCGTGGTTATGCGGCGTCATGTGAGAGTCTCTTCTAGCATCGCGTCGTTCGTACACCATCTGATAGTTGAATAGCGGCGCGCGGATCGACCCTTCCTGGTTCGCCTTGGACAGTTCCAGGGGAATTGAAAACCCTACCAGCAAAATCTACATGCGAGCGACAGTTCTAGCCTGCGATACTTTGGTCTACATACCTGCAGTGTTATTCTTTGTACAAACCTGGCAGAGAAATCGGTCATCCAAGACACAGGTAAACCTAGTACACTAGTGGCTATGTTAAAGACGTTGACAGGTTTGTTCAGCAAGTAGCTTTGCTAACGCTATTGCTACAGCCAGCTCTGTTGTTGATCGACTTCGGCCATTTTCAGTACAACTCAGTCATGCTCGGTATGTCCTAGCACCGACATTGATTGTGGTGATATGTTGACCAGTACAAATAGGACTCACCCTAGTCTCGCTCTGCTGCTTCGCTGTGGGCCACGACCTACTTGGAGCGATCGCTTTTGTCTTGAGTCTAGGATTTAAGCAGATGGCCCTGTACTATGCACCTGCCATTGGAACTTATCTACTTGCGAAGTGTCTAACTTTAGGTTTGCGTGACGGGTGAGTGAGGAGCAGCTATCAGCTCAACGCAGCTAACCAGCTCTTGTTCTATTCAGGGTCCAGCTCTTTCTTCAACTTGCAGCGGTCACTGTGATATCATTTGCAGTTCTCTTCTTGCCTTGGCTCCCACCGATTGCCCCCATATCGGCTATTCTTGATCCGATATCCAGGATATTCCCATTCCAACGGGGCCTCTTCGAAGACAAAGTTGCCAACTTCTGGTGCGCTTCAAACATCCTCGTGAAATGGCGGGTCTGGATGAGCGCCCCGGCCTTGGTCAAACTCTCCGCCGGAATAACCATTATTGGCTTTCTACCCGCTGTTGTAGGCATGCTCTACAGCGGTTATAGGCTGGGTGCATCTGCGGAGAAGTCTAAGCAAGACAGTAAAGCAGCTTCCGAACCATCTTTCGGTCCTTCTCCCGTTTTGCCCTTGCTACCCTACGCTCTTTTGACGTCGTCTATGTCTTTCTTCCTGTTCTCGTTCCAGGTTCATGAGAAGACTATCCTGGTCCCTCTACTGCCACTTACGCTTCTTCTCTCTGGTGCATCGAATAATTCACCCACCTTCAAACTTGGAGCTCTCGTCAACAATGTAGCTGCATTTAGGTGAGCATTTTAACCCTGTCAGATATGACTTTAAAGTAGGAGCTCTCTCTAGCATGTGGCCGCTACTCAAGCGCGATGGGCTTGCGCTGCAATATGTTGTAATTCTCGCGCTTTGGAACTGGATGATCGGACACAACCCATTCAAGCTGCGGCACAAATCTCTAGTAGACTACCTCTCAATGGTGTGTCGCGCGGTATATTTCGTGATGTTCATTTCTCATTCGTCGCCCTAGGCCATCTACGGCATTTGCATCCTGCTACATATTTCTGAATGTCTCCTTCCCCCACCAAAGCGCCTCCCTGATATCTATCCCGTGTTGAACGTCCTGCTCAGTACGCCTGTCTTTGGCGTAACCTGGCTCTGGTCAATCAAGCGGTCTGTTGAGGTGTCCTGGGGTGTTGGTGGCCTAGGATCTCTCTCGAAAGCCTCCTCCGCAGTGCACTCGCCCGGTGCCAATGGCCACCTTCCGAACGGCGACGGTTCCACGGTCGCCAACCCGGAGGGCGTCACGTCTAGTCTGGGTCTGTCGATCGTCGGAGAACGACTGTCGGGCTTGCGGACGCGTAGTCTTGGATATGCACAGGGCAAAAAGTCTGCATTGGGGAGCGAGAGTGTTGGTGCAGAATTCAATTAGCAACAGCGTGTATTAGTCAGGCTTTCGAGATTGGATGGACCTTAATAACTGTTCTATATAACCCGGGGTAACGGAGTCTGTCCTTAGCGTCGAGCTAACATTGAAATATTGAACGAAGGTCGGCCCGATCCTTGACATTGCCAATTGAGGGGTGTTATGTGATGTCCGCGCGCCAGATGCCATAGTGACCTGCCTGTTTGCATCCAAGCTAGCAGCTCCTTACATACCGCCACCAAGGTCACCAGCACCGCGGAAACCCATGCGCGAGTCTAAGGTACCCCTCAGCAAGAGAGGTGATCCTTGGTTCGACGATGGCAACATTATCCTTCTTACCTCCTTCGATGACTCGTCGATTGCGTTCAAGATACATCGTGGCGTGCTGGCGCGTCACTCTGAGGTCTTTCGGGCTATGTTCGAGGTGGCGGAACCCCCACCGGACTCCGAAAGCCTCGAAAAGTGCCCTGTGGTGTACATGTATGATGCACCTGTAGAGTTAAGCAATATTATCAAGGCATTGTATGACGGAGTCTTTCTGTGAGTGCCGTTGTTCAACCGGCTTTAGCTGACTCTCTTATAGACGTATAGGAGCTTTCAGAACAAGAGCATTGCTAATTTCTTTCACGCCGCCGGGATCTTGCGCATGTCAACGAAATACTGCATAGCTCATCTCCGAACACAGGCCATCCAGCACCTCGCGAAGACATGGTCATATACGCTGAAAGGGCACGACGAAATGCTTGAGCTAGCTCTCGAGACACTTCCGGTCGACGACCTCAGCTATCCCTTCGTGCATCCTCTGCATGTGTTGAACCTGGCCCGCTCGACCGACGCACGCCTCCTCATACCATCAGCATTGTACTTCCTCTCTCTATATCCGCTCTCGGACTTGTTGAAAGGTGACCATCCCAAGCTCCAAGTCGAACACCCTTCGCGACCTTCTTCAGACATCACGACGCAGACTGTGCAGGACTACACCCTCATCTTCCAATACCGCTTACAATTGCTCTTGGACTTCTGCCGAAAGACATGTGCTACAGAGCGAAGGACTCCCCCAGACTGCAAGAGTCCCTCGCAATGCTCAAAATCGTTTCACCGCCTGTCAAACTTGCTCTCAAGGCAGTGGATTCCGCGGACTGGGCCGTTCCACTTCATGAAGCAAGCGCAAGACCAGCTACTTGACATGCCGGACGTCTGTGCAGCGTGCCATGCTGCATTTAACCAGGAAGTGAGCGACCTCCGGGAAGAGTCATGGCGAAACTTGCCCGCTATTGTAGGGCTCCCCAGCTGGGAGAAGCTGGAAGCTGAGACGCGAGAGATGGCAATGACGTGAATGTATGGAACATGGTGTGTATTGGTCAGATATACTCGCTATCCCCGGTGTGTACTGTCTCCCTGCCTTGAACCCACATACCGATTCTATTCCTAGAGTCGCCCAAGCACCACCATTTCTCCACTATCTCTTCAGATAGCGACCACGCACTTGTTCCCGCGCTCTCGTTGTCCAGGAAGTCCAAGGATCCGATACCCCTTCCTGTCTCTTCATCGACTACCTTGACTGCACATGACGAAGTTAGAAATTGACACTCTGGCGTGTAATTTATACGTTTCACTCGGAGAATGTACTCACTGCACTGGGCATCGAATGGGGCTCCTACAATGAACTGACCAGTGCCTGCTCTTAATCCTAACGCATCCGCTCCGCCGGCTGTCGCCAAGTACAGAGACTCTTTCCAATCGATGGATAGTGACTTGTGCTCGTTTGGCCTTGCACCACTGGCTGCGCATTCCAGGTGCCTCGAACCCTCTCGTATCCTGGAGACTGTCACGGCATGCCTCATCGCTGACATGATATCAATGTCATAGCCACCAGCAATGTCGGTACCCAGTCCAACTTTGACACCACTGTTAAGTGCCTCCCGCAGGCGGAAGGGAGCAGCCGAGAAGTAGGCGTTCGAGAGGGGGCAATGCGCGATGGCCGTACCTTTTTGCGCGAGGCGCAAAAAAGACGGTGGGTCCAGGAAGGTGCAATGCGCTTGAACCGTGCGGGAAGTCAGTAGACCGCTCTATAGGTACGTGAGTATTGTATGGCTTCAGGGAGGTCTAATTACTCACTTGCTCGAAAACATCGATGTCTTCTAATCCGCGTTCCTGTCTCACCCATTCGACTTGATCCAACGCCTCTGCCATATGACTCTGTACTCGCAGACCACGTTCTTCTGAGAGACGGCCTAATCCCACAAGTAGCTCTTCAGAGCAGGTCGGGACAAAGCGCGGCGTAAGAACGGGTTCGATCAGCCGCTCGTGCGGGTCCATCGCGCTCTCTAGGGAGCGACATTTGTCTACGAAGGAGGCAGCCGCGGAGAGGGCTCTTTCTGCCGACATCTCGACGTACGTCGGTCTAGAGTTCTTGTCCATAGAGAGTTTGCCTACAAAAGCACGAATTCCTGCGTCTTTCATACACTCGGCAAGGATAAGACTATACATCGAGAATGGCTCGTCAGAAATGATAAATCTTTAAGCTCAAAGAGCGAGCGCACTTCGTATCTTCTCTGATTGTACCGAAGAGCAGGACAGCACCCGTCCCATGCTCGACAAGACGTCTCGCTAGTCGAGTGTAGACCCGTCGAGCGAGTATAGGGCTGCTATCTATCCTCTCCTCAGCCTTGAAGGCGTATGCGTTCAACCACTCCATCAGAGATAGATGTAGCCCAGTGCCTTGGTAGAGGAACTGCGGTGCATGGAGGTGTAGATCGTAAAACGTCGGCAGCAAGAAAGTGCCTGGGGGAATCCTGTTGACAGACGCACGGCTATTGAGCCTAGTCTCTGCTTCGGGTGAGCTAGCAGGGCCGATGTATACCATGAAGCCTTTCTTGTCCACTTCTGAGGGTCACACTGTAGTAAGCGAGCTGTGAATGGAGTGGCAAGAGATCTAACAGCTCTCACCCAGGACATGGTCCCTCAATATCCCCAGCTGTCCAAGAGATGGACAGTGGACGAAATCACCACGCCACATTATTACGGAAGATGCAACCAGCTGTATCCACACCTGTTCGGGTGGATGAGATCGCGCTGGATTCTCTCGTGGTAGGTGCTGCGGAACAACAGCAGGCCGTATCATTCGGACTACTGTTAGGCAGTTTCACACCCTCAATTTGTCTTTCTACGGCACGCTCAGAGTTTGGTCGACAAAATAAACAGAGAATAATATCCGAAGAGCGTTTGCGACAATTATGCAGATATACTAGACCTACTCAACACTGAATAACTAGTCTAACATCAGAAGCCCCCAAACCCGGTCATCATCTGGCATACCCAATTCAGATCAAGTAAAGTATGGAAGATGAAGTTATGCTTACGGCAGGTACACCACCCATCGGTGGCACACCAGTAGGCATGCCGTTGATGACTGGCGGAGCTTGAGCTGGATAACCATTACCTTGCGTGATGAGAAGGCGGTTTCCGATCATCCCAGGATTGATAATGGGGGCCTCGGCTTCCTGTTGCTCTTTCTGGGACTCTTTTTGTGAGTGCTCTTGCACCTGTTTTTCAAGAGCCGCGACCCGGTCGATGAGAGACCGCTTCTTTTGAATCTTGTATGGCATATAGAAGTCGTTGAGGCCGTGCTGCCATGACAACTCTTCGATAACATCTTCCCGAAGCAAGTCGAAACAGACGTAGAGCATAGCGGCGAAGCATTCCTTGTTGCCGATGTCGACGAAGTAGCCAATAAGGTCCTCTGAGACTTCTGTACTGGCGGAGACGGCCGCGGTGATCATTGCGTCCTTGTAAAGTTTGTCCTGCTTGGATAAGGCAATCGATTCTTCCCAGCGACCATTTTTCTGCGTCCGGCCAGTAAGCAAGAGTGGTGATCGGGATATCCGAATGGCATACCTTGTACAGATGAGCGGCAAGTCTCCTAAACTCAAGTAGTTCGTGCTTCTCCAACCGCTGCGCAAGGTTGACGTTGTTGAAATTGTCGAAGCTATCGATGGAGTCTCGCAGAGTCTTGTAGTCCTCCTCCTCGATGAGCAGATCGTTATAGGCGTCATTGACGGCCTCAATGTTCAACTGAGGGTGTTAATCTGAGGTTAGACAGCGGGAAGCACTCCATCCGCGAGAGCTTGCCTACATGTTGCACAGCGATGAGGTATGATCGGACGAGCGGAATGTGGTCGATCTGTCTGAACATCCTCACCACACGGGTATGGTCGATGCGGGGGATCATCACGCTGAGCAAATCAGTCAAGAGGGTCGGCTGCTCTTGCAGGTAGAAGGTAAGGGCCTTATAGTATCTATTAAGGGTATGAGATTTAATGAGGCTCGCGAGAAAGACATGCTCACATCTCGATATTGGCTACGCGGACAATGACATCCTTGAACTGGTTATGCTCCCAAGCATCCGCTGATCGTTCGATCATAGCAAGAGCAGCGTTGTCCTGAAGAGGATTTAACGGAGGTGTCCCACATCTTCAATATGACGCTTACAAATTCATCGTATTTGATGTATAGGAAGACAAGCTCTGGCCAGAGATGGGCACGCTCGGCAGCTTTGATGACCTGCGAACATCATTGGATATCTGTGGAATAGCAATTTTATATGCGCTGCTCACCTTAGGGATGTTGATACGGGAAACAAACAGCTTGAGATGCTCCATGACTAGAGTGTACCATTAGATTTACGGAGGCACACTGCAGTCATTCATGTCAACCCACGTTTCTCCGGACGATACTTGCTATATAGCACCGAGAGTTCCGTAAAGATACCCATCTATACGATCCACACTGAGCGGTTGTAAATTCACCAAGAAAGATCGGAACTTACATGGGCACGCTCGAGACTGAGGCCAGCCTCAAGAAGCTGGAGAATCTCATCGAAGTGGCCACGACGTTCATACGCCTGAACAATCGCCGGAAGCTCTTCGGCGTGAACGATGATATTCAGACCGCAAATTTGCGCCTGCAAAGCCAGCATCAGACAGTACAATCTAGACTAGAAATGGTATACCCACCAGTCGGAACTCTCTCTTTTCCAAGCACGCAGCGTGAACTTGCTTCCAGACTCTGCACACAACATGAACCGCCGCTCGACATCAAGCATGACACACACTTACTGGGTGTTGCCGGCCTTGCGCGCGCTCTCGACGGCACCCTGGTTCTCACCAAGGTAGATGAGCGTAGTCGCAAGACGAGCCCAATTGGAAATGCTAGTGAAGAGCAATTTCGCGGCTTGGTAGAGCTCGTCTTCGAAACACTTCTCTCCAACCTCGAGTATATCTGCCACGTTGGTCATACCCAAGAAATCTTCCATGTCATGCAGACGGTCCGTCTTGGCATACGCATACGCGAGCTCGGTATCAATCTTGGGTTCACGCAAGTGCTTGCGCGCCATCTGAAGGAAGCGGACGAGGTCGTCGTGCTTGCCAGCGCGGTTAGCGATCTCGACGACCTCTGCGTAATTGGTAGGGTCTTGAGCCTTGATGTACGAGTCTGCAAAGCGGCGTCAGCGGGGAGAGGTGCTTGGATGTTCGTGAATACAGACCTATGGCATCTTTGATGCGCAGTCCGTCCAACTGGGCCTTCGCCAACCTGGACCATACCTCAGGCTTGTTGACTTTTGTCGCGTATTCTACACCACGGTCGAGCGATACGATGTGCTCAACGAGTACATTGATCGCCATCGCATGCTGCTCGTACTTCTTGTAGATGAGGAGCGCCTCCTCATACAGGCCGTGCTCCGTTGCAATCTTCGCGATCTCACTTGCATCGTAGTGCTGAAGCTTATCAATGTAGCCGACAACCTTGCCCTTGTCTGCACGGATCGCCGTCAGCATCAGCAGATTCTGCAAGTTCTTATTCTCGCTGAACGGCGAAGGTTCTAGGATAATCTTCTCGAGCAGTTCAATGAGCTCGATGGGCAGATCCGCGGAGAGGAAGGCCTTGACGGTAACGGAGACATCGTCCGGATCAGTCGATTCAGGCATCGCAGTGGTAATAACTTGGTCGATGAGTTGACGACGGTGGATGTTATCCGGAGTAAGGACCTGCGCCCAAAGCTCGGGCTGGCGGCGCTTGATCAAGTAGCGAGCCTGTTGCTTAAACATCGAGTTCTCGTTTGTGATTGCGATGAGCTCATCGTCGCAGAAGCCCTTGGCGTATGCGATATAGGCGAGGTAGGGATCGCGTGCTTCGCAGAACTTTCCGACAACCAAGGGTTCGTACAGCTGGTAGGCGACATGATATTAGTCCATATCATAATCATCAGCCAACTTGTACACACGTTGTTTTCCTTGAGGAACTGTTCGGGGTTATTGTTGCTGTCAATATAGATTTTTGCAAGCGCATTGAACACGGCAGGGTCCTGACTTCCCGCCTGCACGCGCGCTTCTAACCAGGGCAGAATCAACTTGAGGCGGTTGCGGGTCTCGACCTCGTGCACCAGCTCGTCGATAGCAAAATTGCCAGGGACAGATGCCAGCAAGCTCTTGATTGCCGTTTCGTCGCAATCAACATCGAGAAGTCCACCGATGACCTGCGGAGTGCGCGCTGAGTTGACGCGCTGGACGTACACCTCAATGAAATTGATGAGCCCGTGCTGGTACAGGTACAGCACAAGGTCGTGCACGAAGCCGAAGCGATCACAGACGATGATGAGCGGTAGCTGGTCAGATAGCTTGGCTTCCTTGAGGAAGTTCTTGACCTTCTCCGGGCTGTAGAAGTTACTCTCGCGACAGATACGTTCGACCTCGCGGATCTGGCCCGTGCGGGTCGCGGCTTGGATGTATTTGAAGTGAACCTCGGGATCTTGACTAAGATTGACGACAGAGCCGAGATAGTAGTAGAGCCCTTCGAAGCTTTTGACGGATTCGAACATCTCAATAAGCTTGACCGGACCTAGGATGTCCGAATACTTCGTGGCGATCTGGATGACGGCCTGCAAGTTCTGGCGGATGTTGACGCGAAGCATCTCGTACAAGCAGGCCATAGACTGCTCAGTAGTGAGACGACTGAAATAATTAACCAGCCACTATGAATCACGCATGCGTGAGTACTGAATACGAATTTAAGAAGCAAGCCACTAACATCGATAGGCAGCGTGCTCGCATGCACAATAACACGCTTGATATCTGCAATGTCTTCGTAATGCTCGAGAGCCTGAAAGAGCTGTTAGCAGCCTGGCGTTCAACAAATTTCGACAACATACTCTCTGGAGGAGACCGGCCTTTTCACACAAGTTGGCAATACGAGGGCGGTCGTAATGTGTGAACATCTCATTACCCAGAATGGCGTCCGCAACCTGCGGTGCATGCATCAAATTCATTTCCAGCAGACGAGTCTGCAGGTGACCCTGCTCAGGCTTGTTGTCTTTGAGCGCATCGAGTAAAAAGGATGTAGCGGGTTGAATCATATTCTGGGACATGAAGATGTCGACAACCTGCAAAAATCTGTCAGTTTGGCATCAATGCGACAGGCTGCGTCTGTACGTACCCGCTCAACGTCAACCAGCGGACCGTTCTCGTCGTTGACAAGCTGGGCAGCAAACTCAGCGCCCTTCTCGGGGTTGGTGCGCATAATGTGCTGCAGAAGGCCAATATAGTCTGGCGTGTACCCGACCTTCTTGCAGTACAGCACAATCTTCTCAGTTTGGCCCGTCTCTGCGAAGCAGGCGATGACCTTGTTCGGGACATTCGCACGCAGGTACACGCTCAATGCCAGAGTTAGGTCGTGTAGCCGAACAATGTCACCAAGCTCTTCGCTGCAAGTGAGCTATGGGAGGGATTGAGGAAGTTAAAGTAAGGCTGAACAGTCAGAATGCGTACCTTGTTTTCTTTCAGCCACTTTTCCAGCAACTGTTTGCGTCCTTGCTGTAAGACTGGGCGCGCAAGCTCCACTGACTCAAGATGATTAAGCTCGCCCTTCTCGAGTAAGATGCCGAAGTATTGAAGGATAGGTGATAGACCGCCAGGAGGGGTTGGTGCTGTCTTGAAAGACTCGATGACTTGCGCAGTACGCAGGATACCCTAACAAATGCACTGAGTTAAAAGTCTGACGCTCGTAATATCTGTGTCACTTACCCGAGGAGAGTTAGCAGCAATCTTGGCAGCCTCGCCGAACTGGCCACTTTGGAATAATGCTTGATACTGCTTGACATACAGGTCATCTGCGCCGGGTAGATTCGCACGGCTTGCGAGTTTGAATGCGAGCTCGGTATTGTTGAGCGTCGTGAGGATGTATGGAATGATCGTCTGGTCGTCGACGTTCACACTGAGAACCTGCCCTTTCTTGTTAACACCAATGATACCGTTAGTGCTATCATGCTCGGCAGTAACGAAGATCGTCTCGCCAGAGATGCGGTTCATGTAGATGCATGCGCCTGTGTCGAGGTCATACAGGTGAATGAAACCGTATTTGGTCACTAGGTAGATGATTCCGTGCTTCTTCGACACTTGCATTGCAACAGGGAAGTCATTGGTCGCTTCGGGCGGGAAGTACACGTCGACGGCTTTCTTCGTGAATTGAGGATCTGGCGCTTGGTGGTCAATTTCGACGATGTGCAGCTGCAAAGCGTGTTAGCGTGTGTATGTGCTGAACTACACCAATGAAACTAACCTTCGCACCGACCGCAGTGCGAACGGAGAACGCGAACAGCTTCGTGACTTGTTGATGTCCATCCAACTTCAGCTCTGCAAATGATGCGGCATGGCCTTCGATAGGTTGACTGACACTGCGCTCTCGGCTGTAGAGTTGCATAGCACCTTTGACCTTGAAAGCAGACGGATTCGTCGTATTCCCCGAGATACCTACGAGGACCAGCCATTTCTCGTCTGCACTCGCGCGGTAATTGATTATCTGCGCTCCAACGAGTGTGGGATGACGGTCGAAGACCTTCTGAGGTGGTGAAGTCTGGTCGGTAATGCTCCAATGGTACACAGCAGTTTCTGTGACCATGCCAATAGTAGCATCTGAGATCCACTTCCAGAATACGACGTCAGAATCGTTGACGTGGGATTTGACCTTCTGCTTCGTCTCAATGTTGAATATTTGGAGAGTGCGTCCGGCTGCGTAGGGCATAGGTGCTTTGCCAGATTACGAGGCGTAGCACGTACCTTTCAACGCAAGAATCTTCTTATGTGGGTGCATTACTGCTGAGTCTGCTGTGATTGGGCGGCGAAGGACATTGTTGGCGTCGGCGAGGTCGATAATCACGACTTGGTTCTGTTCATTAACCTTCTCTCGGACGCAGATGAAGTGATCCGACTCGAGGGTCAGAGTCTATGTTGTACAGTATCCATAGGCAATGAGTGTGCGTCTGGCGCAGCAGGGATACGCGTATACGTGCCTGGAAGGAGATAGAGGCTGGCTGGACGCCCAGACTGGAGAGCTGGAGATGCTCACAGAACGCGATAGGTTTCGAGATGTCGAGAGCCATGGCGAGGAGGATGGCACGTCGAAACCACCGAGAGCACCGTCCTGCAGATATGTGAGACGATAGAGAGCGTATAACGTAGCTTCAGAGCGGGATAAGGTCGAAGCGCGCGTCATCTTTCGGCGCTACCCTCACGTTCGGCATCTCCGGAACAGTCCCGCCGATGTCGGACATTCCCAGGCGCCTTTCAAGGTCTTTTTTTTCCGCTTGTTTATAAAGGCCCGTAGAACTACTGCTACATGAGGGCCTGTGCTACAGCCAAAACAGGGTCCGTGCCGGTTCGCCTGGTCGATCTAAAGTCTGGGGGCGCAGAGGGATTCGCAAGACCGCACCAGACGGCCCTGGCCTCCGCACGAGCACTGAGCCAGTTGATGGACTCTACCACACCAAACCTTAGACCTACCTCTATTGCATTCCCTCACCCTCGCCCTATCCCTAAACTGAACACAAAATTTATCATGGTGACCCCCATTAAGTATGGTCACCAGTGTTTGATCGACTATACTCCAGCTGACCTATAACGATTCACACTATTATTTGTGCTCCTCGTCTAACTGATTGCCCCAGTTGTCCTCGTCAGCAGGCGGATCCTCGGCACCAGATAAAGCCTTGAAAGTTTTGCCTACAGGTTTGTACTTGCCCCTGTAGCCAAACTCTCATGCTAATGCCTCTTCCTCTTTCACGGAGAGGCTCTTGTCTTGATTGAAAAGTATTCAGTACCTAGATACCATGTATTTTGCATACCACTGTGTAAACCTTTGTTCCACCTGGTCCAGGATGGAATATGATTGCTGCCATTTTCCTGGATCCACCAGTATGTCCTCTGGTTGTAGGAGACAATTGTGGTGTTGAACATCGCTGGAGTATTTAGCTTTGCAGCGTTGTTCTAACTCTTTTGTGTAATCATTTCGCTTTTCCTTGCATCTCTTCAAGTTGCATGAGAGCTTT